TTAAATACAGTAAGTTAATAAACAAACACAATAAAAGTTTTATCAGTAAGTACAAATTTTTATGAAGAGATCTACGTATGCTTTAAGAAGAAACTATTGGGGTAGATTCTATCAAGTAACATACATGTATATTCATGGCAATGCATTTACAAAAAAAACAAAAAAACATTACAAATGATTTGACAAATTAATAATAATTCCTTATAAATCCAGAAAAGAAATGTTTTATACTATTTAGATTTAAAACTATGAAGAATTACCCTACCCATAATGGTCTTTCCCAGTTAAGAATATGGAGCAGTCCACTGTTAAAGTGAAGGGGTTTCTGAATATAATGATGCTAAAATAAGCAAGTCCAAAGTATAGTTTGGTCAGACGGCAAAACTAAAAGTGCGGACAGACTAGAATTTAGACTGGTTACACAGTCAAATTAATATACCCTCGAGTATTAAGAGACCAACCATTTAACATTTTATTATAAAAGAACATTAAGTTCTTAAAAGTAAGTTCTAAGCAATAAAGTAATTTTGCATTAATGTTTAAGTCATGCATTTTCAACTTTATGTGTCAAGAAACTTTAAACTTTTTCAACACACCCACTATTATATTGTTAGTTTACATAATTAATTCAATTTCAAGCAGCATGCCTTAAGATTTATGTTGATATTTAATAAAGCGTACTAGGCTCACAAATTACCCTGTCAAAATATACAGAAATTCATCTTAATTGCTCCATTGGAAATAGGGGAAGAATTTGAGAGACAAAAATTTGGAAATTTTGTCATAATTTGAAAAATACTATATAAGTGGTAAAGTTAGCGCTGCGAAAATATTGGCGAATTTCGCCAATTGACGAAAATTGCTAAAATTTCCTACAGTGTAAATATCAACCAACCTGTCATTACATTCTACCCTTGCATGATTCACTAATATTTCCTCACACTAAATGTCTGCAATTTTAAATTCCTTAACTTCCCGACATGTGGAAATATCTATTTATTCAGTATATTTAAGTTTCACGTGGATTCTGAATACTTGTACATTTCTTAACTTACAAATATTTGTTTATTTTATACTTATCTTTAAAGGAGTTATTTTACATATTTGAAGCCATGCCATTTCAAACGTTTGTTACCAATAAAATTTCAAAACAAATAAGGTAAAAATTGTCTTAGGAGAACAAACAAGAATCAACAATTTCAGAACAATAAAATCATAAAAACACAAAAATACATCTCTATCAAGGCTAGTATTATCTTGAAATTAGTCATAACAACAAATAAGTTCATCATAAAATGCTCATTAAAAATGCAAAACAAATTTGAATGTGAACAAAAAGAAGTCAAACAAAAGGCAGATTTAACAAAATGTCATAGAAAATGCATTAAACATAAATTCTGCAACATATTTCATCAAATAAATGAGCCGCGTCACGACAAAACCAACATAATGGGTTTGCTACCAGCATGGATCCAGACCAGCCTGCACATCCGCGCAGTCTGATCAGGATCCACACTGTTCGTTGTCAGTTTCTCCACTTGTAATAGAGTTGATAAGCGAACAGCATGGATCCTGATTAGACTGCGCGGATGCGCAGGCTGGTCTGGATCCATGCTGGTCGCAAACCCATTATGTTGGTTTTGTCATGACACGGCTCAAATACTGACTCATTTAAAAATGCATTACATGTTATATATATATATGGTAACCATTGTGACAACAAATACCAGGAAGGAGGCTTAATATTTAATCTGGCTGGACAGACAGACACACAGACAGACAATCTTAACTAATGGGTACTCAAGTGGCTATCCTACTGTTTGTTTGTTTGTTTCTTTCTTTAAGTATAGCCATGTCAGTTTATAATATAGCCAAGAAAAGCAATGAACAAAACATCAAAGAAGATTTAAACTGTCCGCTATTGTTCCCATAGCAATTTAAACAATTATTTCAGACAAACAGATTCCTGCAAACTGTGCAATTTCTTAAAATCTACTTGAGAATAAGTACCAAAAAACTTCTTTAGATTATTCTTAATTACATATCAAATAAAAATTTAACACAAAATAGTTTTATTTTTTTCTCAAATTAAAAAATTAAACATTTAAAATTCATTATAGAGAAAACAAAGATTGAAGAAGAAAATTTAAACAAGCATGCACTTATCTTATTATTACTTATTACTTTATTATTTATTAGGTATTACTTATCAAAATTTAGAAATCTTATTTCTTAGATTTGGTTTTAAGCTAAACAGCTAAAAATAATAAATTTTTACCTCAATAAAGGAATGTAACAGTAAAAGCATGGCTTTCATTAAAGGGATCAAAAACTCTTGTTAAGTTTAAAATAGGGTCTGCATATGGGCAGGAATGGACTCTGGATAAAGGTTAAACCAATGGCAAACAGAGATAATGTGAAATCCAAACATTTTTACTACAGTTAAAACTATTGTAAAAGAAAGGCACAGTGAGAGTAAATGTTGCAAAAAATTTTGTTGAAGATAGTCAATAGAATAAAATACATAATACAATTGTTTGTATTGAAGGCACTATCACATAATATACATAATTAATAGATGATTAATGATAAAATAAATGCTCAGGTTAGTCTAAGCTGACATACATGTAATAATGCTAAAAAGTTTAAATTTCTGACAAGGCAGACTTTATATTCAAAAATCTGTTATAAATTTGTCATACATTCTTCAGAAAAGTTTAAACAACAAGAGCTGTCCGTAAGACAGCGCGCTCGACTTTTTTATTGCTTGCCAATAAAAAAAGTTTTTGCAGTAAAAGGCAATACAAGAATCTCTGTATTTTTAAAGTGAACAATGGCCATGAGCATTAAGATATTTAGTGAAGAATTATTTTATTATGACATAATTTATGGTAAAGTGAACAAGTGGATAGGAATGAATTTTTTTAGATTTTTTAAGTTTTTTAGTGCTTGCCTATAATACAAAACATTGACAGTTAAGGGCCATAATTCAAATAAAATCTTTGACAGAATTACCTTCTCCTGGACATGTTTGGGAATCATGATTGTAAACAAGTATTCCAACTTTCAAATTAATATCTCAAACAGTTCAGTCAAAAAGTGGACTGGTACTAAAAACTTAACCAAGATTCTAAGTCGATAAAAGGCCTTAATTTTTAAAACAAATCCTTGACAGAGTTACCTTCTCTTGCGTACAGATGGGGGTAATGATGTGAAATAGCATTAAAAGTTTCAAAGCAATATCTCAAAGGGTTAAGGCAATAAGTGGATTTTACCCATATTCAATGTATTTTCTAAGTCAAAAAGGGGCATAATTCTGTCAAAAACCTTGACAGAGTTATGTCCTCTTGTCTGTTGATGAAGGTCGTGATGGTAAACAAGTTATGGTCAGTTTCAAAGCAATACCTCCAATGGTTTTGAAATAAAGTGAGGTGGTACAAAAAACTTAACCAAGCTCAATACACTTTCTAAGTCAAAAAAGGGCCATAATTCTGTCAAAAACCTTGACAGAGTTATGTACTCTTGTCTGTAGATGGAGGTTATGATGGTGAACAAGTATGGTAAGTTTCAAAGCCATACTTGTAATACTTCTGAAATAAAGTGGGGTGGTACGAAAAACTTAACCAAGGTGTGACGCCAACGCCGACGCCGGGGCGAGTAGGATAGCTCCCCTTTTCATAGAAAAGTCGAGCTAAAAAGCAATTACCAACTAGAGGATGCTTTTGTAAAAAAGCGCATGTCTCCCCCACTGCTGAGAATAACTGTGAATGGAAACAGGAATGAAAATGGAGATAAGATAATGTAAATACCCGGTAGTCACTTCAATGAAGGCTGTCTATGGAGAAAATGACCAATGGTCACTGTGACCTTAACCTTTGACCTACTGACCCCATAAACAAGAGGGATCATCTGCTCAATAAGACCAATCATCCTATGAAGTTTGAGGGTTGTAGGTCTAAAGGAACTCTAGTTATCATCCGGAAAGGAGAAATTGACCAACGGTCACTGTGACCTTGACCTTTGAACTACTGACCCCAAAAACAATAGGGATCATCTGCTCAATAAGACCAATCATCCTATGAAGTTTGAGGGTTGTAGGTCAAAAGGAACTCTAGTTATCATCCGGAAATGAGAAATTGACCAACGGTCACTGTGACCTTGACCTTTGACCTACTGACCCCAAAAACAATAGGGATCATCTGCTCTATAAGACCAATCATCCTATGAAGTTTGAGGGCTGTAGGTCAAAAGGAACTCTAGTTATCATCCGGAAACGAGAAATTGACCAACGGTCACTGTGACCTTGACCTTTGAACTACTGACCCCAAAAACAATAGGGATCATCAGCTCTATAAGACCAATCATCCTATGAAGTTTGAGGGCTGTAGGTCAAAAGGAACTCTAGTTATCATCCGGAAACGAGAAATTGACCAACGGTCACTGTGACCTTGACCTTTGAACTACTGACCCCAAAAACAATAGGGATCATCTGCTCAATAAGACCATTCATCCTATGAAGTTTGAGAGCTGTAGGTCAAAAGGAACTCTAGTTATCGTCCGGAAACGAAGAATGGACGGACGGACGGACGGACGGACGGACTGACGGACTGACGGACGGACAGGGCAAAAACAATATGTCTCCCCCCGAGGTGGGGGAGACATAATTACATAGTTGCTTATTTCAAAAAATATGGAGTAAAACCTATACTTTTGGGCTTCTATGATTTTCAGAAAAGGTAAATTTATATAGCTTTGACCTAAAAGTTCATATTAATGGGAAACAGAAGGACTTATGACCAAAGTAGCTTACCACAATTTGAAAAAAAGTACAAATAAATATTATTTCCATTCTATAAACCTATATTATATACACAATGATAACTTTTCCAAACTTTCACAATGAATACTTTTCAAAACTTTAACAATGATTTCTTGGCCAAAACTTTAACAATGAATACTTTGCCAAACTTTCACAATGATTATTTTGCCAAACTGAAACTCCTAAAACAAGAGCTGTCCGTAAGACAGCGCGCTCGACTTTTTTATTGCTTGCCAATAAAAAAAGTTTTTGCAGTAAAAGGCAATACAAGAATCTCTGTATTTTTAAAGTGAACTAGTTGTTTGATACCCTTGAATATTACAGCAATGTTTATATGACATAATTTATGGTAAAGTGAACAAGTGGATAGGAATGAATTTTTTTAGATTTTTTAAGTTTTTTAGTGCTTGCCTATAATACAAAACATTGACAGTTAAGGGCCATAATTCAAATAAAATCTTTGACAGAATTACCTTCTCCTGGACATGTTTGGGAATCATGATTGTAAACAAGTATTCCAACTTTCAAATTAATATCTCAAACAGTTCAGTCAAAAAGTGGACTGGTACTAAAAACTTAACCAAGATTCTAAGTCGATAAAAGGCCTTAATTTTTAAAACAAATCCTTGACAGAGTTACCTTCTCTTGCGTACAGATGGGGGTAATGATGTGAAATAGCATTAAAATTTTCAAAGCAATATCTCAAAGGGTTAAGGCAATAAGTGGATTTTACCCATATTCAATGTATTTTCTAAGTCAAAAAGGGGCATAATTCTGTCAAAAACCTTGACAGAGTTATGTCCTCTTGTCTGTTGATGAAGGTCGTGATGGTAAACAAGTATGGTCAGTTTCAAAGCAATACCTCCAATGGTTTTGAAATAAAGTGAGGTGGTACAAAAAACTTAACCAAGCTCAATACACTTTCTAAGTCAAAAAAGGGCCATAATTCTGTCAAAAAACCTTGACAGAGTTATGTACTCTTGTCTGTAGATGGAGGTTATGATGGTGAACAAGTATGGTAAGTTTCAAAGCCATACTTGTAATACTTCTGAAATAAAGTGGGGTGGTACGAAAAACTTAACCAAGGTGTGACGCCAACGCCGACGCTAACGCCGACGCCGGGGCGAGTAGGATAGCTCCCCTTTTCATAGAAAAGTCGAGCTAAAAATGCAATATATAATATATGAAAACATGACCAATTCAGACATAACTTCAATGATGTATAATGACATTTACAATGAGAACACTCGCAAACAGTGTACCACATCAATCTCCTTGTAACAACAATAAAATACTCAAATACTAGCGTTTTTTCCCCCCATAAAATATCCATTCACATAAATACAACAGGGAATTCATATACACCTGTTACACAATAAATGCAAAATATTACAACATTTTTGCCAATATCATCTCATTATGAAGGTCAATGTCAATATGAAACTAATATACATGTACAAATTTTGCCATAATTATCTCTATATATGTGAGTAAAAGTTCTAAAGAAGGAATGAGCTTGCTGAAGGGATCCCAGATGAGCCAGAAAAAAATGGAGGGGCAGAGCATGTCCAGGGCGAAGGGGAGGCTGCAACCAATCATTGATCTCGTTGATCTGACTGGAATGTTTCGTTACTCGAGTCATGGCTAGCTTGACGTACTATGGTCTTCACAATTTCTTCATGTTCGTTAAGGATCTGCTCCAAGTCTTTCTTTCTTTGTTTAGCGTCTTCCTGCAAGAAGTACAAAAAAAGTTACAATCAATATCACCCTGATATCACGGAACGTCAAACTTCTAGCTTTAAATTCAGATTGGTCCATTGTTAAAATAAGGATTTCCATTATACCACTATCCTGAAAATAGGCAACCAAAGCCACAGAGCCTGCTTTGACGGCACATCGTGGTATGTTCCGGCCGGCCTGGTAATGTACTAGCAGTAAAAGCACTTTATTATCTCAACTAGTGTTCAAAGACTTTAATAATGACCATAAAAATTCTATCACCAAGCAATACAGATTATATAAACAATGTGAAGCAAAGAAGCAGCTTAACTGTAAACAAGAGCACCGCCTGCGGTGTTATCGCTCATCTGTTAAAAATTCAATATTAAAAAGTGGTGTTATCCTTGTCTAAAATGAACAACCTTAAGTCACGATAAGCAAGTACTCCAAGTTTCATGCTGATAACTTCTGAAATGTTTTAATAAGGCGCTACATTAAAGTTTTTGCTCAACAACAATTACGCCTCCTCGATCATAACAGCTTAACTTTTTCTTTGAAACAGACAAGCTAAAAAATAATGTTCATCTATAGTTTGTGTGTGAAATACAATACCAAATTTATGTGATAATCAGTCTAACGTTTTTGTAACTGTATAAAGTTTAATCATTTCCATATTAGAGACTCATTTAGTTCCGTTGATTCAATAGTCAAATTACTTCAACACTGAAATAACATTCAATTTATACTTAATTCTGATTTAATACTTATCCACACCTTCAAATTTTGTTTTAACGAAAAATTATGATATCTCAGATAATTACATTTTTTTCAATTACATAATTACAAACTATGATATTAAATTTAGAAAAATATTTGTTCCATAAATTTCTATATCAGGGTGATGTCATTAAGCTTTAAGTTCCTGGAAAATCGTGCTAGTCATACTTTTAAACTGGCTAATTTTCTACTTATTTACTGCTAATAAGTTCTTCAAGTTGTTTATTTCTAATACATAATTTAAACCAGCACCTTAAAAGATTATTCTTTTTTTTTTTAAATTTGCATAATTGAAAACTCCTGTTGACAAAAGCTGGAACCATAATTATTTTTTTTGGTTATAACACATTATTTTATTGTAAGCTCAATGCAATAGTCTGACTTTATACTGATAAACAAATAGTTTTCCATCATTGCCTATACTCAGAGAACAGTTAACATACTATAAAATATTTTAAGCACTGGCAGTGACTGGCTCAATAAAATAATCTAAAGAGTTTTTATGCAATGTCCCTAATGCTATAAGGGTTCTTTAACAAAAAATCTTCTTTTCAATATAAAGCAGTGTTGGTGGTGGTAGTTTACACTCTAGATCATGGCTGTAAGCCACATTGAATTCACCAGAGCACAGTTCAGGCACCGCATCGTTCCTGGGCAGGCTGTCAAACAGTTTACCAGTACTAGTGCCTTCACTTTCGCAAGGAACTTCTGTACATGCCAGAGCCTGTTAGAAGTACATTATGTGAATGACCGTGAAAGGATTTCAGGTTCAAAATGAAAAGGTACAGCATCTTCCTTGAATTGAACCCCGGGTTGCCTAATTCATAGTCCAATGCTCAATGTCGCCTAATTCACAGTCCAATGCTCAACCGGGCGGTTTCAATGTTATCGTTACAAGTATAATATATATCTAAAGGGTGCACTATGTGTTTCATGCAAGTAGCGTTTATTACAATAGTTTACTATTGGTGAAGCAATTTTCAAATACAGTAAAAAAAAATTTAAGCAGCTATTTAATGCAGCATGCAAAGAAAATATGATGTGAAACATCACAGATGACTGAGGAGAATTTTTTGTATCAAAACAAAAAGTATTTTCATAAGACAGATGGAAATTAGAAACACACAAGAAACTTGTACACATGTACAAATTACATGTTTGAAAATAAATCTATATAATGATAATCTCATATTTACGCTTCTACTTTAAGCAATTCAGAATCTGCATGTCTTTTTTCTTTAAATGTGTATTAAACAAAAAAGAAAAAAAGAGAAATTTATTCCACATTTTGTTGTTAATGTTATATTATGCTCTGTTCAAATTTTCAAGATCTATTATTGTTAAACTTGAAATTGACATAAAAATTTTTTTGTGGATTGTATTTCTAATGACAGAATTCAAATTTTCTGACTGTATGGAGAAATTCCAGGATTTAAGATGAAATACCAAAAAGATTATTTAATTCAAATTTTTTTTTGCAACATATATATTTTCACCATACATAATAAAAGATACAAGACGGACAATTAGTAAACTACATACATTTTCATTGCAAAGATATCATGCAAAGTATACAACATTATAACATAAGGGGAGGAAACTAGAATTACATTTTGGAACTTTTTTTTCATGTCAATACCATATGAATATAAAGCTCCATCAATTGCTATAATTTATACTTATGTAAACAACTTATCTCTGATAAAAAAAACAACATTAACAAAACAGTATGAAACTTAAGAACCCAACTAATGGCAAGATCTCTCAAGGGAAGATACTTATAATAAATAAGAATCATTTAATAACTAAGTGACCTCCCTTGTCTAAAAATTCTAAATATATCAAAAACGGTGAAAAAAAAATAAGGCTATCATCCTGGAACAGACCTGGGGTCTAAAAAACCAGGAGTTTATATAAGGTTCATTCTATTTCATTACCTTATAAATATAGTTACAAGTTTTACTCCTGAAAAATACATAAGGGTTTAATCCAGGAGATTGCCAAAATAAAAGGAGTAAACAACACACCTGAGAAATACATAAGAGCAATAAAAGAGATACAGTGCACAATATATAAGAAAAATTCATGCTGTTAAAGTAGTATATCCATGTTAGAAGTTCTGGGTACATATTGATCTATATATATATTGTATATACGGTAACTATGGTGACAACAGATACCTGCATTGAGGCTACACGTGCCTCGGACGCTCTCCGCTCCTTCTCTCTTGATGGTATCAATTCTAAATAAAAATAATTTTCAACATAAACACCCCTCTGTTACTACACCATGCTGGCAGTTTTTAATCTCATAGATGGCTTTTGAACCAGTGTTATAGGCACAGCATCAAAATGCTGCAGTAATTTATGTGCTTAATTAAAATTAATGTGAGCCGCGTCACGACAAAACCAACATAATGGGTTTGCGACCAGCAAATCAGTTTGCGCTATCAGTTTCTCTACTTGTAATAGAGTTGGTAGGCAAACAGCATGGATCCTGATCAGACTGCGCAGATGTGCAGGCTGGTCTGGATCCATGCTGGTCGCAAATGCACTATGTTGGTTTTTTCAATTTTGCCTTTTTAGGTGCTCTTTAGAGACTCTGTTGTTTTTCTCATCTTTAGAATTTAGAAGCAATATGTAGAAAAGTAAAGTAAAAAATTGTTTTCAATAAGAAGTTATCAAAACAAAAATATCGTGCTGAACCAGTTAGCAGAAGTTCTATAATAATGTTAAAGTCAATGACATATAGCATCGAAAACTGAGAAAAAGAAATGTAAAAATAAATCATTGATCTCATCCTGTTTTTCTAAGCTACAGATTTTTTGGGATGGATTTTAAAGGCACATTATACCTCAGACATGAATAATTCTTACTTTTTTAGAATGGCAAAATTATAACATTTAAAGAATAGTTATATGGCATGTAAGATGCTTGTTAACCTGAAGAATGCTTTAAAAATGCAAAATTATTTGTCAAAATGTAAACAAAGTAGTATTTTGACTTCCAAACAAAATACCAAATCACTACACTTTAGTAAACTGTACAAAATATCAAAAAGCAACAGAAGAAAAAGAATTGGTTCAGAAAATTGGCCAATGAGTAACATTTTAGAAAACTACCATAATTTTAAGTACATGAAGAACAAAGTGAAAAATATCAGTAAGAATGAGTCATTTTATACATAATTCTTTGTGATTTGAACCTTTTTGAATTTAAAAAGTAATTCAAAGTGCAAGACAATTAACGGATGACTGGCAAACGAAATAAGGGCAGTGACAGTGTGTTGATTACTGGTTTCGTACCTATTATATTCATCAGATTCAATGTCACAGCACCCTTAACAACCTTGCCACAGTGAGTTAAAAAAAAAAAAGAAGAAAAATCCTATCTTTGTGAATGAGTCACACTCAACAATTAAGTTCACTGGTAAAGTACAACAATTCACACTTATCATAAAAAGAATTCTGATCAATAATAAGCCTATTCTAATGAAACAAAAGAGACAAAGAAAAACAACATTTGTTATTGCTGATGATCGACAATTATTCATTCTAGGGTTTAATCCTAGCATCTGTTTCTGCTATTCAAAGCTCTCTTAAAGTTTATTATAAGCACTCCAGACCTCCTGTTTTGTTTAAGTGTACTTTTATTTAGGTACAAAAATGTATGATAATCACAAATTTAACATTTTACAATAATTTAAAATTTTAAGCGAAAACATAATTGTTATAATAATGTTTCCTACAACTTTTTTTTAATTAAGGACAATAAATTGTTTTTTCTACGCTAAACTTTTACAGAAATAGAAATAATATATTTGCTGGAAAAAAAAAACAACATAAATTTTCTCCCTTGATGAAATTAAATACCATTTTCATATTTTCTAAACATGACAAACAGTTTCCTTTATTACAAACTGTATTGTTTCAATTAAATGCCCAATGGGCTTGAATTTTTTCAAAAGGGAGGTCCTTATTAAAGCTATAAAATTTTTAATAAAGAAAATTTAATTATAAAAATCATATACTATATTATATATTATATTATGATCTAATATAATAATAAAATATTATATTTCTTTAATCATAAATGAAATATTGAGATATATTGATGAAATAAAATGCGTATTTTCAGTTTCCGTATTTTCACTGAAAAAAAAATATTTTTCACTGCAGTGAAACATATTTTCCGTATTTTCACTGATGTCTTGCCGGACTACTTTCTTTTAAATTCTGCTTTCAAATTTTAATGTCAAAAAAAGAGAAAAATGTATATAACGAACAGAAAATTCAAGTTTTTTCCATAAATACATGATTTATTTTCATCTTGTGGCATGAAAATTACTATATTTCACTCGTGGCTACCGCCACTCATGAAATATTTATTTTCATACCACCCGATGAAAATAGATCATGTATTTATAGAAAAAACTTGAATATCCTCTATATATTTCTTTAATCATTTTACATTACTGGAGTGCCATTTATTTTTTTTGCGATATTTCTACTGTATGACTACCCAAAAAAGAGCTTTTCTGCCTATTTTGACATTTATTTCGTTATTTATGTGGATTGAAATTATTTTTCATATTCATTTCTAAACATTTCATTTTTTTGATACATTTTCGAAATTTTTATAAAAATTAGCAATTATCGGGATGCAAGAGGAAAATATAGCGTTTTCAAGGGAAATTATAGCGGGAAACACCTTCTACTTGGCTGTAACATTTGTGGAAAAAATCACTGTATATAAATATATTTTATCTTTATATGTGGTCTAAAAGAATGAAACCAATTTGGAGAATAAAGACAAAATGTATACAGGATTTTTTTCTCTCTAACATTACTTGTTAAAAAAAAAACACAACGTTTTTAGTTAATGAATATATCTTAATTTGATTCAACAGTTATGACAAAAGTCATCCAAATAGTTATTAAGACAAGGTGGATTCTGACAGTATCCATCAAGCTAAAACGTTTCATGACGTCAGTAACATTAATTTCTCAGTGCAGGCTGACAGATGTACGTGTATAAATGACACAATACTAACATCACACGACTACCAGATAAATCTTGCAACAAGTGACAAGATAATGTAATGTTTTATAACTGTAGGTATCCCTTCTGTTTTAATATACTTCACTAAACTTTATGACAGATGATTTATTTTTCATAGTGACCGACTATCCAAATTTAGATTCATAATTTTTTATATAAATTAGGTTGTTTTTTATTTTTAGTAACACTGACATTGAAAATGTCATCAGACTAGTCTTTACAGCTATACTGGTGGAGGAACTGACCTCTGACCCAACTTTGTGCATCATTTAAGGAACAACCATAAAGTTATAGAACAATGAATATTATTTTATTTAAGCTAGAATTGCAAAAAGTCTGTAGCAGATTTGAACCCACACTGGTTAGAGGCGAGTGACCAACCAAAAACATTTGGCCTGTCTTTTTTTATTTATGACACAAAGCTTCTGCATCTTTAAGTAAGAGAGCAATTATGGCCAAAAATGGTGTCCATAAATCCAATAGCTTAACTTTATAAATTTATAGTGTCTGAACTTAATTTTTGAAGAGCCAGGACAAAAATATATGGTAACAGATTATAAACAGACTCATTCAGATATAAAGCCCTGATGTGCTACCATTTCTATAAAAGTAATATAAATTCAAGTATTTAAAACAAAAAAAGAAATATTAATTACCTTTGTCATCTAAGAAAATTTCTTGTTTTCTGCCGTCTTCTGTTTCCAGGTCAAGCCGTATAGTTTTATCCCCATTATCAGACTGACCTTCCATTCCGAAGTTACTTTGACCTACGACCTCAAGGTTTTTGTTACTTCCTGATTTATCAACAGGTTTTCTATCCGAATGTTTCACACTCGTCTCGGACCGATTGGTGAGGTTACCGTCACCTGCTCCAGTTCTATCGCTCAGTGGTGCCTTATCTTCTGAATTCAACTGGAAACCTTCAGCGCGTATTTCTAATGGACCAGTGCTTTGCAATGAGTTGTCATGACGGGATCGATCTTAAATAGAAATAGAAAATTTAGCCTGTGACGGGAAAGTTGGTCTGAAATAAAGTAAATTTTGGCTATGATTGTAAAGTCGGTCTGAAATAAAGCAAATTTTGGCTTCCACATTTCCAGTTTAGGTAAAAACTAGTAACTAGTTAAAACTGGAAATACCCATTACCATCCACATTCCTCTGTTTTGTCAGTCTATAGACAGACAGTGTGATGATGGGACTGACGGACAAGAGCAAATCTATATGCAGCCTAACTCCCCCTAAGATGGGGGCTAAAAATCGACAACTAAAAATACATAATTAAATCTTTAAAATCATATCTATATTAGCATAATACTGAATTAAAGGAGCCTATTGTACATCTCTTCAGTTCTCTTCAGGATACATGCCCCAGACTTTTACTGACATGAACTGTAAGTTAAGAAAATGCCTGAAATGATTTGGACGTCTAGATTAGGTCTTGCATTTAGTACTGTTCTAGGACTTAAGTGCAAAGTAAGCCATGCTGGTTAATAATACATTACAGTAATAGTGATAAATGTTTTAAATCTGTAACCCAATAAAATCCTTATCATTCCATAGTGCTTAAAACTTAACTAACTGCAGTCCTAAACCAAATCAGACTTTGAGCTAAGTATAGGTTAAAGTTTATTAGTACGAATTTACAAAATTAAATTGGTCAGGGGCAGCACAGCCGCGCGACCAATTAAATTTTGTAAATTCGTACTAATAAATTTTAACCGGCTAAGTGTTTTAAATTATTTTACTAAACTGTCGATTTACTAGACTGATTAATAGTTTGCCGACTTACTAAAGTAAATGTGTTACGATTCATTTGAAATACTGCAATCCTATTGGACAAAAAATAATTTCAAGCACTAACATCTCATAAGATCTGTAAAATCTAATCAGTTTAAAACACTGGCTCTGATTATTTAACAAATTCAGACCTTGAATAATTAATATCCCCTGGTGACTGTGCACTATAACATCTGAGATAAAAGGATGGCTAAAGCGTGAATTTTTTTAACTTTAATTTCATAAAAGTATTCCCATCCTAGAGTCAGTAAAAATTAATTAAAATCTCTCTCAGTCATAAAATCCTCACCTTAGTGCAATAAAGGCTTAACGCCTTATATCATTTAATAGGAGTGTCCATATACATTTTTTGTTTTTGGTAAATCATTTATTTGTCAAAAAACTTGTGAAATGCTCATGAGCTTCAAAAACAATCTTTTGGACATATTTATATACAGTAATTAACATACAAACAAATTTCTATTTAAACAATTTCAAACATTTTTGTTTTAACATACTTTTAAAGTTCAGGGGCAATAACACTTTTTTGTGGTTGGGTTAACGTCTCACCAACACATATGATGATGGTGGAGGAAGAACTCGGGTGCCCTTCCATGCATTATGTCAAGCACAAACTGGCACCTGAGTAGAAATGAGGTTTCATAAGCTAGCTGATAGCTTCCTCACATGACAGAGTCCAAAGTCCCTATTAATTGGCACCTTAACTGTTCGGGCATATTTCAAATGTCCCTACCATTTAATCGACTTGGCAATTTAATTTTTCTAGGTTAAGTCTGAAATAATTTACTGTAACATTCCAATAAAATTGTTTAATCACATTGAATTTGTTACCATCATTGCAGTCAATACTAAAAAGAAATCCAGAAGTTCATCTGACTCGTTTGTAGTCCAATAGGTGTAAAACCATCTACATTGTTGGCCAATGTTTAAAGATCCTGTATGTTTTGTGATTGATATTGTTACTGTCTGTATACCACACTTGCAAAAAACTATATATGTATATAATTATGCAAGTAAAACAATTTTCAAACATTGAAGAATATGTAAAATGTGTACTGCAAATATTTAAGCACATTATATTTAATCAATAAATCATATGCATTCATTTCTTATTAGAAAATTTGACTTAGAATTTATAGAAAATAAATTTCTAATTATCTCCCTTTATTTACATGAAATATTAAAATCGGTAATATCTTTATAAATAATGCTTATTGGAACTTACAATATTGACAAATCTTAATTTGAGCATCATATTTATGAAATAAAACCATGAAAAAAATGTGTTACAGGATCTTTAAGGGAAACCACTGAGATTTTTTAACAAGATGGGACAAGAATGATGTACCAAGATATTTCCAGAAGATTTAGGTACCATTTTATGTAGGTCCACACTGCAATTGTTCAGATCATTCATTTACTCTGTTTTTTGTTTTGTTTTGTTTTTTTTCCAGAATAATCATTTGCATCAATTTTTAATTTAATTCTGAGTATATTTTTTATTGATAGATCCATACTCTGACCTTTTATTTCTCTTCTCAAACAATTCGAATAAAACAATCAGGATTATACAGGGATCTATGAATTATCTTTTGCATGTCTTTGAATCCTTTAAAGTGTCCCAGTTGATCTACTATATATAACAGATATAAATTTTATGTTATTATGCTATTTGAGCTTAGTGGAGTTCCTTTAAATGTTAAATATCAGGTTTGCTCCACAAGAGAAAACGAAGCATAAAATTTTCGATGCTTAAATCTTTCTGCATCAAAGTAAGAATGCTTCGTTAGTTATGGTACATAAATAACCTGCCATTAAAATGGTTATTTAAAACATGCAATACAATAGATAAAAGAAATCCACTCCCCTTCTTCATTCATTCATCCAACTCAGTTTATTTTCAATGTAAATTGATTTACATTCTTTCCCTGGAATATTTTCTGCATTTTTAGCTTTTTTTATTTTCCAATCCAATTTTGTTCCAAAATTTATGTCTGTGTGTTGAATTTCTTAGATGGACTTGTCCAGCTTCCAATTTTTGGATTAGCCTATTATCAACTTTTGGGGATGTCAAGATAAAAATTTACAAATATAGAGCCTGGCACCCCTTTTTCCTCTTAATTAATATAACAGACTTTAAATGCCTTTCTTTGAATTTGGAACAGTTCATTGTAAATGTTAAGGGTTTTTTGAATGAAAATGCAGAAACTTAGCTGTTTAAACCTAGCCTTGTGGGATTTCAAATATATTTATTGTTTATTAAAATCATGAAATCATAAATAAACAGTCTGTACCCAAAGTTTAGAGAATTTAAGAGATTGAGATAATTATTTTTAGCTATTGTATGAATTGCCACCTGGATTTTCCATTAAGATGAGAGAGTTAAGAATTATGATAGAGGAAATACTACAATGCCAGGAAACTATATTTATCAATCTAAAAAAAAGCAGGAAGTTTCTTTGAGTAAAAAAACGAAAGAAAAAAGGAATAAACAAAAAATAGTTGATACTTGGGTCTTAAAAGATTGTGATATTAATATCAAATTTATACTGCTAAATTTATAATCAAATTTTGATATTTTGATATCAAATTTACACTGCTGTCTTTATAATCACCTTATGATATCAAATTTTGTACTGTTGACTATTATTAAATACATGTACATATTGCTGAATTCATTATCACTGTTTGAATTGTTATTTGAAATGCATATTGTAAATATTTTTAATAGAGCTTCATTATCAAAGAAATCAACTTATTAGCAAGTACATGTTATAAACTTATAGTTTTTGAGTTTGGCCAGCCACACTTTCTTAGAAAAAGACCCTCAGTGGAAAATTTAGCAAATGCTAATTACAAACCATCAATGTTCCTTAAGCTTAAAAATTAAAGTGGGGATTATAAACTTGAAGTTTACACAAGAAAGAATCCAACTCTCCTGTAGGGATTTGAACCTACAGTTGAAAGAGGCAAGGGAGGCCTGGTTTCTATCAGTGCTCAAAGGATTAGACATAAAATATTCAGTCTGTAACAAGGAATTTGATAATGAAATAGAACAGCTAAAAAATTAAAATAGAAACAACCCTGTCATAATACATCATTTAAGGTACAAGAAACTCATGTCAGATCTGGATCATTATCACCAGTTTATCACCAGATTTACTTTTCACTGTATTTTACACCATAGCCATTAATCTCACATATTTTGGATTATTTTGATTATATGGGTTATTTCTGACATGTTGTTCTCCTCAAAGAAACAGAGGTTCCTTGTTTATCAATAACGTATCTAGAATTTCAATTAGATCATTTAATAGCCAATAAAGTGGTGCTTTACATTGATTACTTCTTAAGTGTTTGTCAGTAATAAAATCACTCTTTATTATGGACAATAAGGGTAGAACAGAATAAATTCGAAAATATGTGACAGGTCAGTTGTAATCCTACTCCCCGGTTCCTCAAAGTAAGTTCAAATAAAGGGAGTGTTTACCTCCAATTTGTCCCCACAATGTCTGGTCAATGCTGTAGTTTAGTTTTAGCACAATAAAAGTGGGGACTACTCAGTGCAGAACAAAGGGTATGTTAAACCATCTGACTCCAGCCCTTGTAGGCCAGAGCTTTTACCAAGCCTCACTTTTCTCTAAGGTTCTGTTTTCAGAGCTCTCTCATAATTGTTTTGGGGGAACAGTACCAGTGTACCTGTAGGAGGGGGAATTGTCACACCTTTAAATAAATATGCAAAAATGCAAATCAGAGTTATGGGACTTGTGCCAATCATGTTTGATAATCATAGAGAACAAATATGTGTGAAGTTTCAATCCATTCCCTTTAGTATTTATGGAAATACCAACATAAACGCAAAAACTTAACCAAGAATTTCTAAGTCGAAAAAGGGGCATAATTGTGCAAAAAAGCAAATCAGAGTTATGGGACTTAAGCCTATCATGTTAGATTATCATTGAGAACAAGTGTGTGAAGTTTCAATCCATTTCCTTTAGTAGTTATGGAGATACCAGCTTACAAGCAAAAACTTAACCAAGAATTTCGAAGTCGAAAAAGGGGCATAATTATGCAATAAAGCAAATCAGAGTTATGGAACTTTTGCCAATCAGGTAAGATAATCACAGAGAACAAGTGTCTGAAGTTTCAATCCATTCCCTTCAGTAGTTATGGAGATACCAG